TTTTGGATGCGCAGGACAGGGGGTGCTTCTGCTTTTGCGGTCTCTATCTCGCTTCACAGAACTGCACTTGTTTTCCTTTCGCTCGCCGGGGGTGACTTTTTTCCTATTTCCTTTTACATAATGTCGCACTCTTCAGTTTACATAAGAGGCCTCAGACTCTCTGCTGTTCGTTGCATCGGTTCAGGGGTTACTCCCGAGGGCGAAATGAAAGTTAACCTGGGGCTCGTGGCAGCCGTGGAGGATATGGCCTGTGGTGGAGCCCGTTTCTTTCGTTTCCTGAAAGGCCCATTTCCCGCTGCGAGTGGGAAGGGATTATTCTGAGAAAACACTGGGGATTCTAAAGACAACCCCCCCACTTTCTGTTTCTGGCTTTACCACCTTTCATCAGGTTCTGTCAAACCTTGTGCAAACGCGGAGCTTCAATGAGAAACTCCTTGTGACATTGGAGCTCAGCTCTGCCTTTTCTTGACTCGTTGGCCAGTGGGACTGTTAATTCCCAGCAGGCACACATTCCCAGCTTTCCATGGGCAGGGTTAGTGTCTACTTTCTCTCTTGTGGCTGGTAGCAGCAGCATTTTGAAATCATGATGCAGAGAGACTCTCGATTCTGTGTTGTACCTGTGTGCAGAACAGGCATTTTGTGTAGCTCAACTGAAAGGGAACAGAGTAACACGAATATCTTGATTGTTAAACCAGCTGTTGTCCAGGGAGCATCAGTAAAAGCACTTTGAGCAGTTGTGCCTCTTCCACGTGTGCTGAAATTAATACCTTTTTCCACAAACTGTTCATTATTTTACGCCTTTGGAGGCCAATGCACTAACCCGGGACACGTGGGACCAGAGCTCTTAAGACCTGGTAATTGTTGGGTAATTGTCTGTGTAATGTGTAGGGATGCTGTCACACTTAATCCTGAACTATCCTCTTGTCTTACTAAAACCACCTTCAGTGGCTGATCTCAAACACTTTCCAAAATGCAGACCCCTAGCCAATATTTTGCTTTGCTGTTTGGCTTTTGCATTTTCCCCTCCCTTCAGCTGGCGAGAAGAGCCAAAGGCAGAGTCCCTGCTGCTCTGCCTGGCTCTGCAAGGGTCCCTCACTCCCTTCCTCCAGGCTCACAAACCTTGGCTACGTCTTAGAGCTCCTTATTAAACCTCCGTGTGAAGACGTGGGGTTTGACACCACGCCGAGTACAAGAACATTCACCAGACAGTGGAGGAGTTTATTGCACTGAGCAGAGCGGGAATTCCTCCCTGGTGTAGTCACAAAGGCTTTGAACCATCAGTGGGAGCTCCGGCAGCCCGGGGCTATCTGCAGTTGGAGGAGGCAGTCCCCAAACCCAGGCAGCCATCTGGTGCAGACCTCCGGTCTCATATTTCAGGGGATGAACTCCTGCAGAGTTCACTCACGGCTGCTGCTGCAGAAGCCTCTGCTCTGCACAACTGGGCGTCCGATACCCCTGAGTTAAACATGTGGTTTTTCCTTGTGCCCCTCCATCCAGAGGCCTTTTTCCTGCTGTGTGCAGAGGAGCAGGGTTGCACACTGAGCTGGAGAAATCACGGTCAAATGTTCATTTTCTGTGTCTTCCCTTTTTTGATGCCCATCTTGGGGTGTGTTGGATCTCACGTTCTGGGGTGCCGGGTCCCGTCCGTATGAGTTTGGTGGAAGGTGCAGATGCCATAAACATAAACATGCTCAAAGTTAGTGTTTTCACAGAAAAACTTTGCTGAATCATGTTGCAACCATTTAAAGCTCTGCACGGGGCTGTTGGATTCATCTCTTGTACCAACAGAAGGGACTGTGTCTTGTGCTCAGGTCTCCAGGTTGAGCACCAACGAAGGAGGGTTTGCATGTGGGCACCAGGCTGTGGTTGTGCTGACTGAGCCTGACTCATGTTTCCTTCTGCTATGAGGGGCAGAAAATTCCAGCAAACGTGTAAGGCAGGCAGTGGGGAGGAGTGACTGTTGCAGTAATATTTACCAGCACTTCTCTGTCTCTTTAGAGACCATTTTGAAGGCAGTCAGCTTCGGTCGACTTGCTGGAAATCCCACTGTGAGTGTCAGAGCTGGTGGCCAGTGCATACATAAGCCACAGGTCAAGGTTTTGAGCCTCTCCCAGCCCTGCTCCCACCCCACCTCCTCATCTGCAGAAGGAGAAACGTGCCTTTGGTGCAGGTGTTGGGAGTGAGGGTTCACTGGCTCCGTCCTGCCGCTGCTTCTTTTTGCTCCGTTGGTTTTTAACCAACGCGCGCGGAATGCACAATCAGCATCTCCGGAGAAGCAGCAGCCGTAGGAAAGAGGAAGCTCACGCAGAATATAAATAGCCAAATTTTAGAATGTGCCAGTGTAGCAGCTCGGCTGGCTCTTGGCGTGGGCCTGGTGCAGACACCGCTGGGAAGCCGCGGCCTTCGTGTGTGGTTTGCAGAGGGGGAACTTTGGGGGATATCGCACAAGTCAGCAGGACAAAAAATGAATGAATCTTGAATATGGGAAGGAAACGAAATGTGCTTCTACGCACATCAAAATGGGGCGTATCCCCTGCACGGGACACGAAGTACGGAGCCAAAACCCCTGCAATACTTTCCACTGTAGTTGCACAGCAGCTGCCAGTGATTCATGGGTTGATCCTGGGATGTTTTGCCCTCCCCATGTGATTTAATTTATTAATTTAGTTGCATGTCAACAGGCATCTAATTTTTTTTTTTTTAGATATTTGTGTCTGAGATTTACAACTGCCCAGCCAAGTCTCTTTTCTGAGTTAGACTGTACAGGGCTCTGGTTCTGCTGGACCCAGAGCTTTCCTCCAGCCCAAAGTCTCAGCATAACTGGGAGATACACAGGGTAGGGCTGACATGCAGGTTGGGTGATGAAAACTGAGAGAAAGCCCAGGACAGCTGGTGTAAAGAAAGCCCTGTTGGTGGTGATCCCCCTTCTCCATCACTGCCTCTTGGGTAATGGGTTCGTGTGCTCAAGAGGCATCACTGTCATTTCTGGAGGGTTACATTCACTCTGGGCACCAGGGTTTGATGGTCTCTGAGGACAAATTGGAAAGTGTATCTATGACTTTTCTTCCTTTTTGTTGGAAACAGCATCTATAGGTGGAAGAAAGACAACTTGGCCAACTTGATTAGGTGCCATCACTGTAGGGGGTTGATCCAGAGTGGATACAAAGCTGCTCTCTCCCAAGGTTGTGCCAGTCCCCCAGGGCAATGTACTGGAACATAAATTTATGCCATAATTTATCCCAGAGCACAGAACAAGAGAGGGACAGACACAGGTGTCAGGAAGGATATCTGTTAGTTTGCTGCCCTGTGCAGGTGCTGTCAGGGTTGGTCTGGAAGCCAGTGAATCCTGGGAAAGACTTCTGATGTTCACAGCAGAGCTGGAGGTAGGAGCCTCACAGTCCCTCAAGCTTCAGCAAAGCAAACCTCTCCATAATCTGGCATGAAGTGAGAAGAGCAGGTTCAGCAGAAAGTGAAAAAGTCAGTAACCCTGCCCAGGGGGATTCTCTGTCCTCATTCATTACAACCATGAATGAGAGGCTTTTTCCAGTTTCCCCTTGCTCTTTGAGCTGCCTTGATTCCTTGCTAATGACCAGCCCCTGGCTTGAGCAGGGTGTGATCACAGTGCAGTGAGGATAAAGGATGGTGGGTAAAGAGCCTGTGGGTGCACATGTGATCCATCAGCTCAGGGTCCTGCTCTGCTCGTGTCTCTTGAGATGGGAGATGCATGAAATGAGGGCCCTGGGCATGGCTGTTCCCATGTTCACAGGGAGCAGTTTGGAGGAGGATTTTTTGCAGGGAGCAGCATCGCTCCTGGGGCTCCATCCTGGCTCCCTCCACAGCAGCTTCTTCCCTGGCAAGCCCTGTGTTGTTGCCACTGCTCAGGGATTTTTATGTCCTGGAGGGGCCGGTTGCAAGGAGAGCCACGGGCTGGCTCTGGCCCTTGGCTGGCAGTGTGATATGCAGGGGAGACTTGTCCTTGTGCCCCACAACACGTGGTCACCTCCCCCTGCTAACCGGCTTATTGCCTTCGGGCATGTTCTCCATCTGCTGAGCAGTGGGTTTTGCCGTGTGTCAGACCCTGTCCCGCCATTTGGTGTGGGGGCTGGAGGGCGGGGGAGATCCCCACGGTGTTTAAAAGGATCTGGATAAACCATCTTAAGAGAGGCACTGACTCAGCAGAGCGTGGTGAGGGAGGAGGAGGAGGAGGAGGAAGGAACCAAATCGTCCTTGTGGGGCTGGAGCTGCTGCTGAGCCCTGTGCTGGCATGTGGTGCTGGGGGATGTGCGTGCCCGGGGACCTGCCCCGAGAAGCATCACCCCTTTCCTCACCAAATTCTAGGTGGTCTCCACCCCCCAGAGCAGAAATGTGAGCCTCAGAGCTGGGTTGGGCTGTGGCCCAGAGGTGCCCTGTGCCTGATGCCGATCCCTGGGATTTCCCCCCCAGCTTTGAGCTTCCTCTTGGATTTCTGCCTCCCGGCGCTGCCAAAGCTGGTGGGAGCTTGGTTTGACAGTTATTATTTATTAGGGAAGTGCACAGAGGTACCCAGTTCTGCAGGGACAGATTACTGAGATTACAGTCAGAGCAGGTGGCAGTGTCACCTTATGGGAAAGGCAGAGGCTTGGGAAGGGGGAGGCAGCCAGGGCTGGGTATGGGGTGTGCTCTCACTGCCTCCCTTGCTGCCCAGCGAGGGGTCCATGCTCTGCCTGGCACCAAGCACTGGCACAGCCTGGCTTTGCTGAAGGGCTGAGAAGTGGAGCCAAGAGCAAACCAAGAGCAGCTTCCCAAAGTCCTGGCTCTGCTGTGGGCAGGCTCAGATGGGCCCAGAGCTGAGCTGGCCAGACTGGTGTCACTGGGTTTGTGTTTCTGAGCAGGTCAGGGAGACTCTTGCTGTCTGCCAGCTGTTGCCTTTGGCTTGCTGGGATGCCTTGTAGGAGCCACAGGAGCATCTCTGCTGCGCTTTGCTCTCCTTATCTCATGGTGTATCTTGTCTTTCCATGCAGAGCTCCACACAGGAGATTGGAGAAGAGCTGGAGGATGGTGTGATCTACAGCATATCGCTCCGGAAAGTGCAGCTCCACCACACGGCCAACAAAGGGCAGCGATGGCTGGGGGTAAGCTGGGGGTTTTAGAGGTTTCCAGGCCACAGGAAGCATGTATTAATTTGGGAGCAGGGAATGGGAGCATCCACTGACCTCTGCCCCGTGGGAAGGGGCACAGGGGAAACAATCTGTAGCCCCATTTGGCAAAATAGGGTAACTCTGATTTGCATCTAGATTTTGGCAACCTTGAGGCCTCTTCTGGGATTTCCCAAATGCTTGTCTCAGCTGGGTTGCTGATATTTGGTGTCCGAGGAGACCCAGCTTCCCTTTCCCAGTTAGGAGAGCCCCAGGCACTGTAGGGGTCTGTGGTCCCAGCCTAGACCTGAGCCTTGTGAAGCTGGTGGGAACGCTTTGCACTTGGTGGTGTCTGTCTTCACCCAGCCCACTGACTTCTGCTCCTGTCCTGGCAGTTTGAGAACGAGTCAGCCCTAAACCTCTATGAGACGTGTAAGGTGCGGACGATAAAAGCTGGGACCTTGGAGAAGCTGGTGGAGTACCTGGTCTCAGCCTTCAAGGGCAATGATTCCACTTATGTCACCATCTTCCTGTGCACTTACCGGGCCTTTGCCACCACCAAGCAAGTGCTGGACCTGCTGCTTAACAGGTGAGGCTGCCCTGAGCCCCAGAACACAGCTGTGGGTGGTTGGTGTCTGAACCCCAGAGAGCTGAACCAAGAGAGCCCCAGCACCTTCTGCTGCAATGCCTTGGAGGGCTGATGGCTTCTCAGAACTCCATCTGCTTGGAGGTTTTGGGGCAGAGCAGGGAGGACACCACTTCCCAGAGAGTTGGAGCTCTTCCAGCTGATATCCCTCTGTGAGGTGGCCAGTGCTGGCTGCTTCCCTCTTCCTGTAATATGGGGGCTTGTTTTAGAGGAGGGGGGAGCAGGACACTGTGTAGGAGGTTCATCCTCACCCCTGGCAGAGCTGGGGGTGATGTGGGGGGAGAAGAGGCAGCACTGAGAGGCAGCTGAGTCCAGGGTGCTCACTGTCTCCTCTCTGTGCCCCACCAGATATGGCAAACTCCACGTGCAGGTGAATGGGGACCATGCCAGGCACGCTGTGGACGAGAGGATGGAGCTGAAGAAGTAAGTGACTGTGCTGTGGGTGGCTCTGGTGTTTTGGTTCTCCTACAAAGGGATGTGTTTTCCCAGAGGTGTGCCTGGGGTTCGTGGGGGCGCACACAGGTTTCTCCTGGCACCCGGTTCTCACTCTGGTTTGCCCGTGTTTTCCCCCTCCCTGCAGCACCATCTCCTCCATCCTGGGGGCCTGGCTGGACCAGTACTCAGAGGATTTCCGCAAGCCCCCAGACTTCACCTGCCTCAAGCAGCTCATCTCCTACGTGCGCCACAACATCCCCGGCTCCGACCTGGAGCGCCGGGCCCGCATCCTGCTGGCCCAGTTCCAGCAGCAGGAGAAGAGCGAGTCCGAGGCAGAAGGTGGGTTCCTTTCCCCTGCGTGTAGGGGGTCATTTGAGGCTGCAGGTGAAGGGAGAAGTGCTACTTGTTGGCATTGAGGGTCTCCAGAACCTCCGGTCTTGCCCCATGGCTGGACACTCATAAACCCTACCTGTGTTTACATGGAGGTACGTTGGGAAGCTAATCCAGCTGCACCAGAAGTGGGATTTCTAAGTGGATTAGCTAATCTGCCTTTAATCCTCTGTAGACACTTGCACCCAGGTTTAAAATGACTATCCTTTTATCTGAGCCTCGTTTCTCGAGGTGTGAAGCCAGGTGGGAATTTAAGAGCCTGGGAGGTGGGATGTGGGTGCCCACAGGGGACTGGTGTGGGTCGGTGTGGACCCCAGCTTGTGGCAGCTCTGCAGTGCTCAGCTTCACCCTGTCTCCTACAGCTGTGGACCATGGCAGCTGCACCTTCCAGCTGGCGGAGGAGAATGGGGTTGGGGATGGGAAGCCAGATTTCCTCTCCTTCTCCCCAGAGATGGTGGCAGAACAGTTCACACTGATGGACGCTGTGAGTATTCACTCAACAGCCAGGTCGATGGTGCTCTGGACACAGACCTGGCTCTTTCCATCCATTTTTCCTCCTGCCCTGTTCTCTTCCCAGTGAACCCGAAGAGACCCATCTTCATCCCTTTATTCTTCCAGGAGCTGTTTAAGAAAGTGGTGCCTTACCACTGCCTGGGCTGCATCTGGTCCCAGCGAGACAAGAAGGGCAAAGAGCACCTGGCTCCCACCATCCGGGCCACGGTCTCCCAGTTCAACAGTGTGGCCAACTGTGTCATCGCCACGTGCCTCGGGGACCGGTCCCTGAAGCCACAGCAGAGGGCAAAAGTGGTGGAGCGGTGGATCGAGGTGGCTCGGGTAGGACAGCTCACCTCCCACCTCTGCCCGAGGGCTGAGGTTTTGCTGTGCTGGAAGCACAGCAGATCCTTGAGCTCTTTTTAACGCTGAGTCCCGTCATCTCCTCGTTCCCAGGAGTGCCGCATCCTGAAGAACTTCTCCTCCCTCCGAGCCATCCTCTCAGCCCTGCAGTGCAACGCCGTCCACCGGCTGAAGAAGACCTGGGATGAGGTCCTGCGGTAAGCGGCTCCTGGGGGTGCTGGGAGGCTCCAAGGGGAAGGTCATGCTCTGGCCCTTGAATGTTTAAATGGGATCATCTCAGCTCCAGCACTGCAGTGTGCCCAAAACCCAGGGACCAGTGTGAGGTGTCAGGGACCTAAGGAGGGCGAGAAAATAAAAGCATCATCACTTTCCCTTCCTCTGTGTGAACCACCCTGGAATAGCTCCCAAACAGCAAGGCCCAACTGGAGCTGTGAACATAACTGGGGTCATTTGGGTGAGCAGAAGGGAGCCCGAGGAGGAAATTCCACTGTGGCAGCATTGCCGACTTTTCCCCTTGTTTCCCCCCGAGCAGGGAGAGCTTCCGCACATTCCACGAGCTCTCGGAGATCTTCTCCGACGAGAACAACCACTCTCTGAGCCGGGAGCTCCTCATTAAGGTAAGGGGAAGCAGCACCCACGTCGCCCTGTCTCTGGCAGGGAGCTTAGGCTGATGCTGACAGAAGTTTCCACGGTGTTCCAGCCGCAAGGATAAAGCCCTGGCAGAGCTGCTGGAGTTGCAGACATGGGCATGCCAAGTCTGGGGAGCAGGCAGGGGTTTTGGACCAGGCCAGGCTTTTCTGCTTCTCCACCCAAAGCTCATTGCCTGAAGCTGGCAGAGCAATTCAGCAAACAGAGATAAGCAGTGGGATGGGATCCAGAGCACCAGGTGACAGCTTCTCTCCAGAGGCAGCTGCATTTTAACAGCCCGGTGCAAAGTCCTCTTAATTCCGGGTGGGGTGGTGGGATTGGTGAAAGGCTGCAGCAAAAATGTCCTTCTTGCGTGTGGAGCCTCTCCACAGATCCCAGTCCAGCTCTGATTTGAGGGATGAGAGGACACAAAATGTAAAAGGGAACAAAACATCCCATTGAGGAGGCATTTACACAGAGCTGGAAATGAGAGCAGCAGTTCCTATTCACTAAGCCTCTCCTCCCTGTGAGCCATAAAACAGCTTTGATTTCCTCTTCTTCCCCTCATCCCTCTTTCCCTCTGCAAGGAAAGTTGTACCAATAAAAGTGGGTGTGAATTTTAGCTAATAGATATTAGTGCAATTTCTCACCTGTGCTGATCCCCACCTCTCCCCACCATCCAGGAGGGCACATCCAAATTTGCCACCTTGGAGATCAACCCAAAGAGGGCTCAGAAGCGGCAGCAGCAGCAGCGAGAGATGGTGAGTGTGGCAGGGCCACCCCTGTGCCCCCTCCTCGGCGTCTGCCCAGGCTGGTCCCAGTTCTGCTGACCCTGCTGTCCCTTCCGTCCCCACAGGGCGTGATGCAGGGCACCATTCCCTACCTTGGCACCTTCCTCACGGACCTGGTGATGCTCGACACCGCCATGAAGGATTTCCTGGATGTATGTACCTCCTCCCTATCCTCCCCTCCTTGCCTTCCTCCCAGTGCCTGGGCTGATAAAAGGAGAGCTGGTCCCCCGTGTGTCCTGTATCCGTCACTGCATCCTGTACCCAACACTGCATCCTGTATCTGACACTGCACATCCACCTCTGTCAGCCTGTGGAATTGGGCCACTTCCTTGGCAGGGACACTCACACTGCAGTGACAGTGAGCCGGGGACAGGGAGGGATGGGAGCAATATTTTTCTGCCTGCTCCATGCTGACCTTCATCTCCTTCTTTTTTCCAGGGTGGGCTGATCAACTTTGAGAAGAGAAGGAAGGTGAGAGCTTTGCCCTGGCAGCTACACAGCAGTGGGGGGGAGGAGGAGGCTGACCTGGTGCAAGCCCAGACTGTGCCAGTCACTTTGGGGTTGATCTCTGTCCTTTTTTTACTGTCATGTTCTTCACTTTTGGGGAGGGGATTCTGGTCTTTCATACCTGCCCGCATGCGTGGGGCTGGGCTGTCTGTGCAGGAGGCTGGGGCTGGAAAACAGATGTGGTTTCATGGCTTCCCTTTGCCACAGGAGTTTGAAGTCATTGCCCAGATCAAACTGCTTCAGTCAGCCTGCAACAACTACAGCTTCACGCAGGAGGACCAGTTCGTGGACTGGTTCCACAGCCTGGAGCGGCTCAGCGAGGCCGAGAGGTGAGTGAGTGGGGCCTGGGACCGCTCTGGTGCATCGGGAGGTCCCACCACTCTGTTCTGCTCTCCACTCCCTGCTCTGCCTCCTTGGTGCTTGTGGAAGCACAGAGAGCTCAAACCCTCCTCTCTCCCCTCCCAGCTATGGGCTGTCGTGTGAGATCGAGCCGCTGTCAGAGTCAGCCAGCAACACGCTGAAGGCGAAGAAGAACACGGGCATCATCAAGCGATGGAGCGAGTGAGTCTGCCTGTCCCGGGGGGAGGTGGGGGTCAGCACGGGGCATCCCTGGCTGAGTTGGGGGTGGTCCTGCCAGCCAAATGCGCCCTCACCCTGCTCCCTTCTGACCTGCCCCACGTCTCTCCTGGCAGCCG